ATTAGAATGGATATGAAAAATGTTTCTGATATTAAATTATTCTTAATATGAAAACACGAAGTATCCATACCCTTTGAAATATTGACTACAAATTTAATGGATGCTTTAGAAAAGTACGAGTAATGCTTTATTTGCTTTTATTTGCTGTATTTGGCCTGAGGGTATTAAAACATATTGATTTCTGTTTTTTTTAGAATTGTCCTTCAACTTTTTGAACCATGTATGATATCTGTTACCATTTGCTGTGTTCGTATTTAGAATCTTTCTCAATTAGCTTCTTTGTACTTAATAATTATTTGATCGATTTCAAAGGTAGTGGATTGAAGATGGTAGAAATAGTACATTCTGAATAGCATGCACTTATAGAAAATTTAATAGCATGGTAACATTTCTTGGTGACTTAGTTTGCTTATTCCAGTTGAGGAAGTCAAACAATATATTTATGTGATTTTAGCAGTTCTGAATAATTATTGATCCTGTCTGAATGAATGGATCACTCTAGAAAACATGATGGACAATAGCATTATTTATATAGATGTTTATTTTACTTGTTATTTTTATAATATTATAATGCTAGTCTTATATCATATCCTGTCTGAATGAATGTATCACTTTAGAAAATGTGATGGGAATGTGTACAACATTATTTTTATAGATTTTTATTTATATATATTTATATCATTTATATAAATATTCTATGCTAGTCTCTGTTTTCCTCATCGCTTGGAGAGCCATCAAGATAGTAATTTATTTATTTATTTATTTTACTTTTTGGCAATAAATAGATGGATAGATGGAGGGCAGACAGTGGTCAAACAATGACAGGAATGATGGATTTAGATTGAAAGTACTTTTGATTTTTAGATAATTTGCTTTAAAAAAAACCGTCATATTTACACAGTATTCTTCCTATGCACTTTGTTCTACTGAAAACAACTGCTGCCATTTTATTCCTCTTAAAGATATATGCAAGGCCAAATAAAAAAAATTTCTAGTTTCTCGTCCACTTATGCATTTTCTCTGCCTCACCAAATTTTTTTTTTTTTTTTCCCTTAATTTTCTTTATTTTATGAAATGTACAAAAAATCTGCCTAACTCACATCAATAAAATTTTTCTCTAGATTGTTCGTGGTTAGGGATACATCATGTCTAGTGCTTCTTTTATTTGTTTTCAATGTTGTCTACTTGGTAAAAGTGAGAAACTAGTAGCTGTTTCCCATTGAACCATCTTGAATTTTCCATCACGAGAGTGAAAAAAAAGGAGAAAAAAAAAGTGTCCTCATTCTTTTTTAAATTTTAAAATATTAGGACGAGAAACTTTTTTTTTTACCTGGCCTAAATCATTTGGTCAACGTTCTTTTTCTGCTCAGCAACTTCTCCCACCACCAAACCATCTTCGGAAGTCACCCATTTCTGTTAAACAGTCTTCAAATTTAGTTTTATTCAAGAATAAAATAATCTCAATTTTATTTAAAAAAGCTATTCAGATTGAATTATTGTTCACATTTAATATTTGTTTTCTTTTTTATTTTCATGGTATAAATCTATAAATATTGTTATTATCACATGGAAATTATTTTATTATTTTTTTATCTTCATTATGAGATAAATATTCTTTGGTTTTGTATTTTGTAGAGCTTTTTACCACTTCAAGTGTGAATAATAGCCTTTTAATGTATTGGACCTCAGAATATTTTTTTAGTTAAGTGTAATTAATTGATAATTATTATTATTTATATATTATCATTATTCCTAAAGATGTATTGTCCCCTGAAAATGAAAAAACATAAAAAGATTTTGAAATAAATTTTCTTATTTCGCTGTACAATGTAACATACAAATTATAAACTGATTTTTATACTAAATAATGATTAAAATAAAACAATGAAAGTGTTTCTATCATTTTTCAATTTTAAATTATGTGTAAACATTGATACTTTTTATGTTACTTCAAAACTAGCAAGTTAATTTCGGAAATTGCTTTAATGATGTTTTTTAATTAATGTTAGATTTCAGATTCAGATTTCTTGAATAACTTCAACTCATAGTATAATACTGAATCGCGAGAAGTTTACAATATATACAGATGAAATTGTTATCTAAAAGTATAGAAGAGAAAAAATTGAACAACACACAGCACCACAGAATTTAAAAACATTAATAATGTAACATTAAATTGTAATTTAATAATGTTTTATTGGACAATACATCTGTAACTTTGTTTTAATAATCTTATTTGGTATATTTGTTATATGTTCTTAATTATAGGGCTACTGTTATTTTAAGATTTGAAATAAATAATGATTTTGATGCATATTTATATACATGTCAGGTGACCATGCCTTTTTTAAATTTAGCCCTGTGTTTTGGAATGCGCTTTCAGCATGAATCAGACTTGCACAATTAGTTACAGCTAGAAATATGCTACATATAAATGATTTTATTATTATTATTAATTTTTTTATTTTATTTATTTATTTTCAATATTTTACCAGGGTGGCCCAATCAGTCAAAGAGACTGGTCTCCCTTGGGGCCCTGGGTACAAAATATTTTTAGACAACCAAAACTTAACTAAAAATTTACACTTTTACGTACATACAATAAAAGATAATTAATCTTACACTAATGATGCCTTAAAGTTGCTTTTAAAAACATTTAAATTACTTGATGACTTTGTTACATCATTTAAAGTGTTGAACAGATTTGCACCTTGCATTTAAAAGAATGCTTATAATATTCAGTTTTACATTTGTCAAGTAAAAGTGATTTGCAACTATTTCTTGTAATGTGATTATGATTATCCTCATCTACAAGATGCCATTCTATTTTTGTAATGTATATATACATAATACAATTAAGTAAAGGGAGCTTGGGTGTTAAGATGCTTCCTTCCAATTCCAGGGTCTTGGTTTCAATTCCTTTCACGGTCTCTGGTTTCAATTACTGTCATGGTAACAAGATTTATTCCCATGACCAAAACAACTTCACTCCTTTAGCCTCATAATAAGACTTGCACCCTATTCAGACTGCACCCTGTCACAATCGGTTGCGATGTAATCGGTGGTAATCGAAAACTGATTACTCCTGATCGCAATCAACGATCGCATTCAGACCAACATGAAAAAACTCTACATTTTAGGGCTCCAGTGGCTAGGCCTATGCTGACTGACCTCAGCCAAACATTGCCTGTGGAATTCAATGTGATCTGTTGCGATCAAATTCTGTGGTAATCGGGTGTAATAAAGATTGTAGCACCCAATCGCAACGGGTAACAGTTGCGATATTGATTACTTATCGAATATTACTGGTGAGCTTTCACACACGATTTTACTTTACAATTGGGTGCGATTGGGTGTCGTAATTGTTACAACCGATCGCAATGCAATAGTTGTTTGAATAGGGTATTAGTTTATGTTGAGCATCATTATGTATGTTTGTCTTGTGAAGGGATATGCCACAATAGGAAATTGATTAAGTTTGTTATTTGGCACATCTTTGGCCTTTGGCCTAAACAAATAAAATAATAAAATTAGTCATGTTGTACAAGATAAATAGAAAATTTGTTTCCAGTTGCTTAAAAAGAAAATTTTACTGAAAATACAAATAACAGAAAAAAGGGTCAAAGTTAAATAATATAATGAATCAGTTATAAAGGTGGAACAGGTAATGTTCAGGAAGCAGATATTTAAAACGAAACAAGTCAATTGCACCTTGGGTGAAATCAATTGTTTGGAAAGATTAATAAGAAAGACTTCCTTGTTCTGGTTAAGATATTTTTAACTTTACGAATTGACGCAAAGTTTAGCTGTATGTTGTTATGTTTGTGGACAATAATGTTTTTTAAAAATCCTTGTTTGGTTTTGTAATTTTGTGATCATGAAGTTGTAATTTTTGTTTTGACAAAAAAGAGGCTAATTGTGGCAGGATTTACATCCAAGTCCCTGAGATTTAATGCCAGCATATTAACCTCCAACCTCCATTTCAGTTTCGTTATGGCTCAACTACCCAATACTCAATACATTTATTTGTCATATACATGTACAATACACATACAATGAAATTTGATCTGGTTTCTTAACAAAAAACAAACATAAAATATGAAAATTTCAAACTAGTGACTTGTCCAATACCCTAATAGCAGAGAATAAAAAGTACGTAGAGATCTACCCCCCCGGTCACTAGTGATTGATATCGGCGACCATTCCGCATCAAAGTGAACAAATGGAACTATGTTTCCTTCACCATTTACATTTATATTGTTTCAGATATGTAATGTTTACATACCATTAGAAAAATTCATCAAGTGTGTGGAGCTGCCTCTCCAAAAGTACTCTATTAGTTTATATATCTGGGGTTCTCAACTGGGGGTGGGGGGCACAACAGTCTCAGAATAGGTAAGTGAGTAGCACATAACATTGATTTGCATTGAAAATCTTAAAATTTTGTGCCCCCCTCCCCCCGAGCCTCCCTACTGGATCCGCCCCTGTAGATTGCATGCCATTTCCAATCAACTTATCAACAGTTAACTTTATTAAATTACCACCTGCGAATGCAACTTACTGGCCCACTACAAGCCTAAAAATAGTATGTATTAAATAATAATAAATTTAAACCACTATCATTTCAAACTACTGTATATTAGACACATCATTATCAAAATTGTTTGCATGTAGGAGTGGTCACACCCCTTTCTAGACCCTAGGTCATTGGACCTTCATATTTATTCCATCTTAAAATTTGGCCCATGTTATAATATTTTAGAAACCCTGTTATAGTTTATCAAGTGTCAAACGATTAGCTTACAATATGGAATCCTCAATAAAAACATTTTATAATAATGATATGCTGTATTGATAACAACATCAAATATGATATTGATAAATCTTTGAAAATTTTCATATGGAAACAAAATGTTGCATAGCATGTATCTAATTAAAAAATGTCTTTATCTTTATAGCAACTATACATTGATATCTAAACTTTCATTTTATTACCTCAGTGAAAAGGGGCAGTTAGCAGCCTTCAACCCACCAACAATATCTCTAGACCCAAAGTCTAAACACTATGGTAGGTAGTATTAATTGAATGTTAATTTTGTTTATTGGTTTATTTATATATTCAGGTATAACACATAAAAAAACAACCGAAGGCTGAGAAGGTCTGTTTTACACAAAAGCATCCAAATTTATCATAAGAAATAAAAAAAAAAATAATTTACTAAAATCTTTTACATTGGAGCACTATATATCAGAATCACACATATACTAATCAGGTCGTCAGTAGTAGCGTCATTAAATACACTCTAGGAGCTTGGTGTCTAGGGGCACTGGAAAATTTGTATTCCATTGAGTCATGGTAACATGATCATGTAATACCTGGAAGGTCTGAATATAACTAAAAGGAAATTTATTTGTGGTTTCCCCTCTATTTTGATGATTCTGTGTAACATCACATTACCAGGTCCTCAATATCCTGTGAATATAGTATGACCAACAATGAATTTGCATCGCAAGAGAAAGCTGGCTTAGTAAGCTGTGGCTTGAAGCTTTTGAGTCATATTTAGGACAAATGGAGCTTCAGCAATCGGATTTAAATAGTTTGGCCGAGGGAGGGTCATTTGTGTGGACCACTGCTTACCACTCAAGCAGATCGTAAAATGAGTTATTGCCTAAATCTACCATGTTTAATTTATTAACTCCCATACTTGCTTTATGTCATCATAAGTTTTTGTTGGTTTCTGGTACAGGTACATGTAAAATCTACTTTTGTTGGTGGTAATTTAACTAAAATGAGTGCTTTCAGACTATGGTAAATTTTCAAGAATAATTTGGCTGTTCCAAGGCAAGATAACGTAACTTAACAAAAATATGAAAGCAGTTATGTTGTTTTGCCGGGGACGGCCGGATTGGCAATCAACATCAGATAAGTAGATAATTTGACAGCCTTATAACATCACTTCTTGAACTTAATACAACTTGGCAAATAAATATTGGCTACTGCGTTTATATTATTTCCAATTCAATATCAACCAAGCATGATAATCACATACATTATTACACCATTATGGACAGCCATATCCTGTCGAGACCTGACAATGTCTTCACCTGACAATGTCTTCATGAGCTTCAAATATAAAATATAAGCATCCTTAGAAATGATAAATGTTACCTAGATTGATAGTAATTGTTATTGTCGTGATGGAATAATAGATAATAACTGGATTTGTGTCAGGAGAAACATGTATAGGTATAATTTTGCCCTACCTGACATGGAAATGTACCGAATACTCAGTACATTTGAAAACAACTGCGAAAAAACCTAGATTGTTTTTATTGTAAGTGTACGGACCCCTGAAATATTATTCTCTTATTTCATTTTATTTATTTATTTGACACAAAGGTCCTGGGATTTCTAAAGAAGCAATTGCCTCTATGACTCGATGAGCCAGAAGAAGACTCAAGTTCCTCTCTTCTTAACTCCTTTTTGCCAAGTAATCGATTTCTCTGCCTCCACTGCTTTACTGTTTTGTTGTACCAGATTTTTCCATGTTTTTCTCTCTCTTTAGACAACTTTCGGAATTTTTCTACTTTGTTTAATGTTTCCTCAAGCTAGAAGGGTTTTGCAAATTTGTTTCCCTTGATGAGTTTAAAACCACATCCTGCTTACAGCATGAGCAGATTCAAGATGTTTTTGCTGATGTGGTTGTAAAGTACCAATCAAAGACCTACAGTCAAAGGGGGAAGGGGTGGAATAGTTCTGTTACCTATTAAGCTGGCCACTCACTGCACTCGGATGAATCCAACTCCGTTCCTATTGAGCGCTAGATGACGTGGTGCCATCTGCTGATTGATGGTTGCAGTCTGAGCAGATGGTCGTTAAAAAACGATCCGTTGCGCGTCGTAGTGTTACTGTACGTTCTCCATAGAATTGCGTGGGCCGACGACCACCAGGCGCAATGAGTTTAAACTAAATGATATCACACTTTTGTTAGATATTTTTTGGTTGCTGCCAGGAGTTGTGCACCCCTTTTGCCACACCCTGGATCAGCCACTGTTGAACCCTGTGAGATAACATGGTTTGCATGACTAAGGCTATGTTCTCACACGGCAACTAACAGTTAGCACGATCTGGATCCTGCTAACCGTTAGCAGGCAGAAGATCTCTATCCCGATACCAAGAATATGATGATCGAATAACTGGCCAATAAGAAACTGGAAATTGTAAACGCGTACGTGTGGTTGGTTGATGATAAAAAACGTGTTCAACGTGCTAACCAATAGCACTTGCTAACCGTTAGCGGTATCTGGATACCGCTAATGGTTAGCGCTACCCGATCGGGCATTCTCACACAGGTGGTAATGGTTAGCACTAACGGTTAGCTCCCGATCCGGATACTAGGGCTCTCGTGAGAACTAGTAGAGCAGAAGCCAAAAGCATGTGTCTGTATGGCAATCAAATGATGAGCAGCTTACTGTAGTTCAGTCAGCTAAACTGGTGGTAGTCATTGTTTGTGCGCTCAAGGTAATTCAACAAAAGGACGCACATCTCCGCTCTCGAACATAGCGCGTGCGTACAGTCCTTTGATCTTTACTGTGGCATCGACAATCCGATACTAGTTGCGAACCAAGAAAATGAAAAGTTATAGCAATTCAAAATTTACGAATTTTATAAAATTTCATGTTCTTATGTAACATTAATCTGTCATTTTGACAATGTTGGCATAAGGTGCCGAGGACGAACATTTGAGTATATACGGAACATGTATTAATTTTTTCTGCGAAGTGAGTCTCATGAACGACAATTCACCACAATTTTGGTAAAATTAATGTTGAAATGAAGAATATATTTCAGTCTAATGTTAGTGCAAAATATAATTAGGCCTTTGTAATCA